GCATGTGTTATTCTTCACAAGCAAAGGAATTTCCATTATAATTATTTACTGGAGTTTTCGTGTACATTCCCTTTTAATACGATAACTTATATTTGTTGCCGAAATGATGACAATCCACATGGAATATTTTTCAAACCTATTTAAATCGCCCATGAACTTATATACGCTTGAATATAAAGTACCATTTACACCATTTCTGAAAAAGATTGTATTTGAAACGTCACCGCTACCATTCAAATGGCAGTAATGGACAGTTAATGGGATAATAACTGTTCGTTTTTGCTAAAAAATCAATTTTCCTGGAGTAAACAGCAAATTTCCCATACTAACCGATGGCTAACGAACCCATTTCTACATTCAAATTTAGTCCCTGTTTTTTAAAGTTTGCTATATATTCACCAAGCCTCAATTTAATGGGTAATTCCAGAAGTCGGCGAAGCTGTGAGTGACATCAGTGAAGCACACATTGTATCTAGTATTTCTTACCGTTTTGTATCACCTTTAATGGATGTTAATTCATTGCAGTATTGGATAACATAATAGTAGAAAAAAGCAAAATAATAGGGTACAAGGGTAGTTCGAATTATGCAAATATAAAAACAGAATATTTGCGTCACAGACGTGACTCAGGGAGCCACTTACTTTGAAACTATTCTTGTCAGCTTATTTCGTGTAATTCATGTCCATTTCGCCACCGAGGTTTGCTTACACTTTTGACACTAAGTGATTTGTTTTCAGATGGTGTTATTATTATTTTTTTTTTTGTCACATATCAGGCCACTGGCATCGGACACTTTTCAGCAAATGTTCCAATCACTGGTTATAGTAGCATAAATGAAGAGCAAACCTCACACAGACACAAACACAATCACATCACCCACATAAAACCAGTTTTCCACACACACACATACGCGCGCGCACACACACACATACATACACACACAACACCCAGTTCTCAAACATACCACACACAGACCATCCATCTTCAAACATACCACCCACTCGCCTCCCAGCCATGCTCAAACACACCACCCACACCCTACATAGCTTTCCACACAGAAACCATCGATCTAATCCCCAGCCAAGTAACAAGCTATCCACTCACTCAAATGTCAACCGGTACTGCGGTAAATTGTAGCCTTTGTAAAGGCTGGGGTAGCGCTAACACTCGCCAATTTAGCCAAATGCTAAAACTTACTTAAATTGGCTAAAGAAAAAGGTCTTGATTTGACTTGTTTTAGTCAAATTATAACCATTTTGATAACAAATTGACAAAAAAGTGGTGATTTGGCTAAGCGACAAAAATTGCTAGCGCTACCCCAGAAAGGTGTTTTTCTGTGTGTGGATAGTGAAATCTGAAAAGCACATGTAGCTCTTCAGATAATTTAAAGCCAAAACTCTTTCACTTTCAACTCTGCAAACATACGGGAACTGAGAGTATGGGAGGTATTGATTATTTGTGCTGCTATGGCCCTGCCTTTCTGTAATAGTATGGTGAATGCGTGTATCAACATGTAACTTGACATTTAAACAGAGATGCAGACTTACATAAAATACTATGAAAGTTTGTTTATTTGACATGAACATGATTATAGCCAAGAAAAGTGTAGCAATGGAATATTGTTTCCCAGTCAATTGATTGGAGATTGCGATTTAGCAGTAAATCAAGTTGCTTGCATAATTTATTGTTTGCATGGATACCGATTGTCAAGCACATGGATATTTTATTTTTATATATAATGTTTGTTTTGCCTTAATCTGCTGAAGGACTTTGCAAGTAAACACTTTCGGTTATGGTGCTTGCAACCAAATTCAGGACACGTTCAATCGAAGAAAATACATTGCAGTGTTGCTGTTGACTATAACAACAAACATTATGGGATATATGCGTTTTTTCTACTCATAAAATCAATAAGTGCCTGGATTGACCTTGTTATGTAGTCCCACAAAAATCATAATCATAGGTGGCAAAACAAAGATTGAATACGTGCATGTTGTCGGTAATGAATAAAATGCACACATGCACACACGCACGCACTTTTTCCACAGATCTGTCTGCTTTATGTAATGCATAATATCAGGTCGAACTCTTAAATAAAGAATAATAAAAAAGTGTTTTTTTTTCTTACAAACGGTGAATTGTTTTGATAAATGACGTTAACAACATACCGGGGTACCTTTACGTCATTTAATAAAATGTCTTCAAGATTTATTACTTTTTAAACGCGCTTTCCTTAACATATTATTTTTGGGTGTAATAGGAACCCCTTGTCATAGTGAGTTTGCACAATAACAATATTATATCCGGAAAAAGTAGACATTCGTATATAATTAAAATAAAACATTCATTTTAATACTAATCTTCCTGTATCATTAAGTTAAACAACGTCCGAGTATTGAACCGATCCGTTTTCTGTGATTCAGGGAGCCATTATTATTATTATTACAATGTACATTTTTTCTTTGTTAGGCAGACGATCGAAAATCCAATCGCAACATCGCGTTGCACAATGTTCGTCGAGATTTAACCTCTGTTCGAACGCTAGGGAGTTCCATACCTGTTTAAGTTTCGAAACATAATCATTTTTCATTTGATGCGCAAGTCTAAAAGTAGTTTGTAAGACTAAAAATATGCTTCTAGACGTGAATCTTATTTTCCCGTTGTTATTGACTGCCCTGGCAGTAACATGCGGCCTAAGAGAAGGAGCACAAGTTACACTTAGTAACAATGGTTACGAGGGACTCCTGATTGCAATTTCGGACTCAGTTCCAGCAAGTCCAGAGTTGATTCCGAGGATCCAGGTCAGTACTAACATTTGTATATACGTAGAATACCTCCTGAAAGGCACTTTAATAAGCCTGCCCAGAAATTAAGGATATTACGTATAGCGGCGGATTTAAGGGGCTGTCAAAGGGGTCCTGACCCCCCCCCCCATTCGAATTCTGAAAAAAATCACACCAATGGTCTCTTCTTGAAATTGGATTTTTTCCCAAACTGAATCATAGTTCTAAACCGCATCAAATGGCACCCTTAGCCCTCTAAAATACCAACATTTTTGAAGGACCCCGAACTCCTCGCCAAGGTTGTTTTGGTGGTGGGGGGGGGGGGGGGTTGTGATAATTAACAGAGACTAAAGAGAGAGAGAGAGAGTACTTGCTATTTTTTACCATTGTCATTTGATTGGCAGTTATCACTGTCCAAAGAAGCCAAATCCTATTGAAGTATTCCCTGTTAGGTGATTAAATGACGTTCCATCAGTGGATGAACTGTATCCCACTATCATATTTGTAGCTCCGTATGATAAAGAAGCATTCCAACACGGCGTTACACTGCATTTAAAAGTAGCTGATCGAAATTTGGGATAGGCTTTTTAAACCCTATCATAAATAGCCCTGCCAATATGTATTTTGTCCTGTTAAATTATTATTTTCCTTGCAAAAGTGGGTCACCCAGCATAGATCAGATCATACCGCATATAATTGAAATATTTGAAGAAGAGATAGTGTTATTAACTGTGGCTGTTTAATTGAGAAAACGTCAAGCAGGTAAATATGTTCTCAGCTTTCATAATAGCTAACGGCTCTGTGTCACCTGGCAGTGGCGAATTTAGAGGGGGGGGGGTCAGGGGGGTCCTGCCCCCTTCCCTTCGATTTCTGGAAAAAAACCACCAGTGGTCCCCTCTTGGAATTATAATTTTGACTAGCTGAATCATAGTTCTAAACCGTACCAAATGGCACCATTCGCCATTAAAAATACCATTTTCCGGATCCTTAATCGGGCCCCGAACAAGGGGGGGGGGGGGGGGGTCGGCTTCGAATCCGCAGACCCCCCTTCAAATAATCCTGGATCCGCATCTGTCTGGTTTATGGATTGCTGGACTGGACTATTTCATCTTAACCATAATAAACTATATTTTTATTGCAAGATGTTGTTTCGTAGTGTCAACCAGATCGAGGTATCGCAATAGAAATGCAAATTATTGTTTGCATCCCCTCTGCTGACGAAGAATAAAATGAAAATGAAAGCACCAATGTACATGCTCATTAACCTGAATTGATTTGAAGTATTTATTCAAGCTCTGCAATCGCATACATTCCATTATTTCTTTTACTTAGTTATTTGATTACGAGACTGACGGCAAAAAGAAAAATGCGAAAAGAAATCAATCAGCCTACTATTAACCCTCATCCACAAGGAAATGGAACCCTACGTAAACCCTGAAACCGGGCCTCAGAGGCCCGGTGTACCATGAAAATCTGACTCCCCCCAAAAACCATTCAAAAATCTAATTTAATTTGAGTAAATGACTATGATCTTGTAGTATGCATAATGGAGGACACATTGGCACTTTTTGTTAGTTTGCAGGTGAAAATTTTCATGAAAAAATAAAAAAAATTAAATATTTGTATTTTACCACCCAAGGACTCCCCTATGAAAAAGCTATTTATTTGACATTTGATGACCATTTCAACATCTTTTCTTTGAGGATACTTTATGAGGAATATATTGAAAGTACTTGAAAGTTTAATGGTTAAAAAATTGGGTGAAAAAAAAATAATAATAATAAAAAACACATTAAAAAATAAGAAAAATTAAAGATTTATATTCTAACACCCAATGACCCCCTATGAAAAAGCTATTTATTTGATATTTGATGATCATTCTGACATCTTTTCTTTGAGGATACTTTATGAGGAATATATTGAAAGTACTTGAAAGTTTGAATGGTAAAATACTGGGTATGCTATATAAGAAGAATTCAGTAAAAAGGCGATGGGGCCAATTTCTCGAGTTAAAAATGTAGCATTTTGACATGGAAGTGCAAAACCTACAGGTAGTACTGTAAGATGAATATTGTTTTAAAAATATTCACCAAAATTTTCACCACCAAACTTTCAAATAATAACAAAATGTACATCTCTGTGCAAACTATGTAGAAAACAATGGTATGGTGACTGAATATAAAATAGGTCCTTTTCTTTATGGGAATCCAAATCTCATGGGTATAAAAATGAAGATTTTCATGATTTATTTTTCATTCTTTCACTCACTATTTTATCATCAAACTTTTAAATATTTCCAATATATTTTTCATAAAGTATCCTAATAGAAAAGATGTCAGAATGATCATCAAATATCATATAAATAGCTTTTTCATAGGGGAGTTATTGGGTGATAAAATGCACATTTTTCATTTTCTATTTTTATGGGTTTTTTTTTTAGTTTTTTTTCACCCAATAGTTTACCATCAAACTTTCAAATATTTCCAATATAATCTTCATAAAGTAAATTTAAAGGAAAGATGTAGAAATGATCATCCAATATCAAATAAATAGCTTTTTCAAAGGGGAGACAATGGGCG